ACGGTTTAAAACTCCCACCTGATGACATCACGAGGGGGAGCAGAGCGTTTGGAGTTTTGCAGATGTAAACAGACGAATAATAAAAAGTCAAACAAACACGTGAATGAAACAAACACAAGTCCAGACGAGTTTGTGAGGAGGGAACAAAATCAGAACAGGACTGTCGTGAACCCCCCCCCCCTCGGCCACAGGAGAGTCACTCGGGTGAAAGGATGAAGGTTTTGGCGTAAGCCCCAGTAAAAAAGCTCCTGACATTCAGATGAAGATGTTCATGATGCTTTATTTTGATAATTGAATAACTGTTAGAGCATTAGAGATTAAGAGTGTTTGATTTAGATATTAGAAGTGTTTTTGTGACCCATATTAACATAAGTTACTTGTTTTGCTTTGATTTAATCTGATTTGTTTCCTTTATATTGATTTGCTTAATTCTTTCAATTTAATTTTTAAGTTTAGGTTATTTGCAATAATTTCTGTAACTGTTATGTTTGTGTGCAGGAAAGATAAGGACCTTCTGTTCTTTTGACAGTTGACCTTTATTTGACATTGATGTATGAAACCTGTATGTTCTGCTGTGTGGGAGGGGCCTGTATGCAGGCGGATGTGAAGCTTCCTGCTCCTTCGATGAAGCGAGGTGGTCTTTACTTCACATCTGGCTGGGGCAGAGGTGTAGGGGGTTAGAATGGTGAAGACTGTGGTTTCTAAGAAGTGTTGCCTGTACTTGAAAAAATGTGTGTTATCTGTGACGTACTGATCACTCTGCATGTACCTGGGTGGAGTCCTGTGACCCTAGATAAATACTGAAAAATCTGCATAATAACTCAGATCCTGATTTTGGTTGGCATTGACCCTCCGGCTGTAACTCGGCGTAGGAGGTCAGAATCTATAATTGGGACTAGGCTGAGTTTTATATCTTTCCTGGTCACAGGGTAATTTCTCCAAAAGGTACTTGCAAAGTGATTTGTCCTAATTATTTTTGTATGAGTTTTCTGTTAAAAATACAATAAAAAACAGATGAAATAAGACAAAGACAAATCACTTGTTGGAATCTTTTGTTGAGTCTTTCCCTCAATTATTATACATATATATTTACTACGAGCGAGTCAAGTCATCCTAGGTGAGTTACTTACAAAAATGCAATGTTTTGATGCAAAGCTAAATTTGGTTAAAGGTTTTGAGGCACTGCTAAGGATAAATTAATATTTGCAATGTTTTTGGTGTAAAACTAAATCTGGTTAAATTCTTTGAGGCACTGTTAAAAATGTATTTTGGGCAAATATTGTCAGATAGAGAACAGAGTATCATAGGGTCATAGGTGGTTTCTAAAGCGAAGTGGAGTTGTAAGTGTTCCCCAGGTGATACTTTAAGAGTTGTTAAAGTTACCTGTATGGTGTTTCTTAAAGTTAAGTATCCTTTTTGAGTGTAGTAAATGATATTTTTGAACATGCATTGTGTTTTAAAGCTATGTGATCTTTTTGAGTGTAGTCAGACTTATTTGCATTGTGTTTTTAAAGCTGAGTGATTTTCTGAGGGTCGATACAGTGATTAGAAAAGGAGCAGTGGGATCCAGGTGGTGTAATTTAGCCGCTGGGACTTTTAACAAGGACTAAAGCTCAGAGTCACTTTTATGTCATATTGAACCTTTAAAAAAATATATTTAAAAAGAAAAATTGAATTTCTATTGAGATAATTTGTTTTAAAATGGATTTATTATGTTCCAGTGCGATCAAACTCACCGTTACAGGGTTCGTTGGTGCTTATGTCACACCGGGCCAGTCCACAGAAATTTAAATTAAAGGGATATAAATTAAAAGGAGGAGGGTCCAGTTCTGGGCCCTTAAACCCTGGGGCCCGTTTGTCCGTCTGTCTGTTTGTTTGAGACTCACCGTCAGGGGGGAGGCCGCGCTTCCGGAGGTTTTTGCCGTGGACTTTTCCGTCGTAGTGAGACTTGGCCACCACCGCGGAGCTGAACACCATGTTACACAGAGAACAGAAGCGCTCCCTGTCGCCCGGCAACCAGCGCTGAGGACACACAAACACGTCAGATGCCCTCCCGTCCTCTGTGTCCTGTGTCCTCGTGCGTCAGATGCCCTCCCGTCCTCTGTGTCCTCTGTGTCCTCGTGCGTCAGATGCCCTCCCGTCCTCTGTGTCCTCTGTCCTCGTGCGTCAGATGCCCTCCCGTCCTCTGTGTCCTCTGTGTCCTCGTGCGTCAGATGCCCTCCCGTCCTCTGTCCTCTGTGCGTCAGATGCCCTCCCGTCCCGTCCCGTCCCCGTCACACTCACCACACCCGCCTCGTCCGTCCTCTGTCCTCGGAGCGTCTGCAGATACGTCTTGAGTTTCATGGCGTGTTTTTTACCCTGAACACAAAACAAAACGACAACATAAAAAAATAAAATAAAAATCTACAGTTTAACCTGAGCTGAGACAGGTGAGACAGGTGAGACAGGTGAGACAGGTGAGACAGGTGAGACAGGTGAGACTCCAGGAAACTTCAAAATGAAATAAAACAATTCTGTGATTCTGGTTCTTAAGATGTGAACAGTTTTATTTTGGGCCGATGACTCAAAATGTGAAACAGCCTCAAAACAGCAGAAAATTAAACCAAACATTTGTGTGTCATTTTTCAATATAAAACCAAAAATAAGAAAATGAAAAAACAACAGTTTTCTTCATTATTTGTCTCCAAAACCAAAATGAAAAAACAGATAATGATTTGTTTTTTCAGTTTTTGATTTTGTGTTTAAATGAAAAATGGAAAAAATGGATAACGACCGTTTCCCGTTTACGTGACTTCAGTGACTGAGATGTCGGACTGAACCAGGACTGATCCAAGTCCGGGACCAGAGCGGGACTGAGACCGAGACCAGACCGAGACTGAGATCAGAACTGAAACCGGGACCAGACCGGGACCAGAAGCTGAGGCTCGGATCCCGCGGAGGCTCAGAGTCAAAGCTCGGAGTCCGGTCTGGTCCTGGTCTGGTCCCGGTCTGGTCCCGGACCTGGATCAGTCCTGGTTCAGTCCGACATCTCAGTCACTGAAGTCACATAAACGGGAAACGGTCGTTATCCATTTTTTCCATTTTTCATTTAAACACAAAATCAAAAACTGAAAAAAAAATCATTATCTGTTTTTTCATTTTGGTTTTGGAGACAAATAATGAAGAAAACTGTTGTTTTTTCATTTTCTTATTTTTGGTTTTATTTTTGGAAAACGAATGAACGAACGACACACGGATTATTTTGTTTGTGTTGTGTGACTGTTTCATTTGTGTGAGTTTATTTCTAAAATGATTCATGATTATTTTTGTGTAAATTATATTTTGGTCGTTTCTGCTCCTCTGACGACGGCGACTTTAACAAAACTCCACAAACTGAGTGAAGAGAAACGAGCTGAGGCTGTGGAAAAGTCTGGATCAGTCTGTACTAACTTTGCTTTGGATTCATATTTTATAAAATTATCCAGACTTTTCCACAGCCTCAGATCATTTTATTTTATTTTGAAGTTTCCTGGAGCTGTGACCTCAGTTTGACCTTTAAAAGAATCATTAATATCTCCAAAACTAAAACAGCACAAATGATCGACAGAGTTTTGTTTAGGTTTGTGTTTGATGGGGGCGACTTCCCAGACGCTCACAGTCAGAATGTCTGATTTTATAGGTATTTTTGAGTTCTAAAACCGCCTGCACTTAAATAAATGGTCCTGGTCAAGCAGAAGTAAACAACAAGGCCAAAAATTCAAGTTAATTCATCTGATATAAAAATGTATTGAACAGATACATATGTCTCTAGTTTATCAAACTGTTGACCTTTTTTCTGTTCCATTTTTGGTTCTAAAGTTCCATCTGTTTTAAACAGACCATGTATGAAACATGGAACAAAAATTATTTCCCAAATTTCAAAGACCTGAAAATCATGTAAATAAATGTTTGTATTTCATCATATCTTGTGTTATTCCATCTTTGAACTGTTGATGAAGGTACAGGATTTTTTTTTTTTTTAAGTATTTAAAATGATACAAATGTTCTTGGAAGGACTGACATATTTTATAGAAATAGTTTCTTTCATTTTGAAGTAATATTAAAATATTCAGAAGAAAAAAGTGACAAATGATGTAAAATCCTGCACCTTCTACTTGTTTGTACAATTTTCCCTCCGTTACTTTTCCCTCCGTTACCATGACCTTTCTTAATAAAAAATCTCATGAGTCAAAAAGTCAGAGGTTTTTCAACCTAATCTTGTACCATATGGTAGAAAACTATATGAAGCAAATATTCAAACCAGTTTGTTAAGGATATGGAAGTGAGAACCAAGAGTTATCACTGTTTGGATTTATTGACCAAAAAGTGCTGCATATTTCATTCCCTCCGTTACCAACATGAGTTTTTTTTTAATTTTTTGTCTTGAACTTGAAAGAATCTCACAGGTTTAACTTGACCCTGTTGGAGTGTAACTCTTTCCTACATTCTGATACTTTACTTATTTCAATAGTTCCTCTAGTTTCTGAATAAGAGACATTTGAATGTCAAAAATCTGACCCTGTTTCCTCCGTTAACACTTGACCGAACCCACATGTAAAGCAGAGCTGTTTAATGTCACACTGTGGAACATTCCAGACAGAACAGTGACGTCTCCATAGAAACAAGCAGGTGACTGACCCCAACCAAAAAGTTACACAGTGAAGATTTAAGTCATAAGATTAATAAAACAACTCTGTGGAGTCGATCCCAAATAAATAATGAGAAGTTTCTGTGTTTGTGGATGAGAAGTTTTGGAGATTTGTTTAAAAACCGTGAATGTCTCTCAGAGCTCGTCAGACTCGCCTCCTCACACCTGGTAGTGTGCGTTCCTCTGGGAGACGTGCACCAGGACGGCGTCGCACACGTGACAGTGAGAATCTGTCAGAACTCGCTTCAGCTGCTCCTCCTCAGACTCTGGAGAAACACAAAAACATTTCTCTGCTGATTTAAGCGTGAAATCAGAGAACGTCACACGGACAGGACGCGTCAGTACTAAAGTACAAATACTCTAAAATAAATAACTCTCCACTTTTATTACCTGATTATGTCATCTTTTATGGTGGAGAGTCCGCCACCTGCTTTACAGTTTTGGTTTGCCTGGAGTGTTCCACATTAAGGCATTAAATTTATCTCTATTGACACGAGTAGTTTTACGTCACATGGCCACGTTTCAGATCAGATCTGTGGAAAGGCGAGTCCACTCACAGTATTTTTATTTTTTTAAACACCTAGACCAGTTTCACGGTGTAACAACATAATAAAATGACTTTACTGGAGTTACTCCAGTTTAAGTTCGCGCAGGTTTGATCTGATTCACTCTGAGCGTCACATTATTTTAACATCACTCACCTGTTTCTCCCACAAACATAATATTATATTTAATTATTCATTTAAAGCTGAACAAAAAACAAACTCACTGAAGCCAAACATGAAACCCCCTCCCGTCTGCCCCGGATCAGACTCAAACTCAGAGTTTTATTGAAAAGTTCCGTGGTTTTGTGTAAACAAACAGTTAGCTTGTGTGGCTAACGGGCTAGCTCCTCAGAGAGGCTAGTCTGTTAGCCACATGCTAACGCGCTCAAACGCCTCTGAATCCTCCGTTTTCAGACAAAACTCACCTTTACTTGGGGCATTATTTACTCTAGTGTTTGTGACAGTGTTAAACTCAGCGGCACGATCCGCTTTAAACACTTTATTCTCGGTTTGAGAGTCTGAATCCGCAGCGCGCAGCTCTGCGGCCGCCATGTTGGACCTGCTCTCACGCATGCGCACTCAGCACAGACATTTATTTTTTTTTTTTTAAGAGCTGTATTCTCCGGTGCACGGCTTTATTTATTTTAGCAGATTTCGGTTCCTGTCTTAGACAATTTTTTTTATTTCAAACTCAGCACAGGCTTTTTTTTTTTTTTTTTTTAGCGGCGCGTTACGTCATGTCTTACGTCACGGTTTACGTCCATCAAAGACCGTATATGAATCTATAGATGATTTATGGTCCAGCCCAAAGAACGACAATAAAATCTGGATTAATAATCAGAGTGACGTCACAGACAAGATGCGCGCGCAGCCGAGGAGCAAAAGACACACAGACACGGACAGAAACACGGACACAAACAGAAACACGGAGAGAAACACGGAGAGAAACACGGACAGAAACTTTCCCCGCGTTACAATGAGAAGCTGTTGTGTTGTTAACTGCACGAACAGAAGTGAAAATGGTTGGCGGATGTTCAACATCCCGAGAGGACGTCACCCGTTCGCCCAAAACAGAAGAAGATTGTGGCTTGAGGCGGTTAAACGAGCGGACTGGGGTTCGTCCGGTACCGCGGGCGGAGTGAGCGTCTGTGCTGCTCACTTCATCTCCGGTAAGTGTCTGTGTCCTTCAGTAATTAAAAAGTCTCTAAGTATCTCACCATAATTCATAAGTGATCATTAAAGTGAAGTTAAATCATCTAGGTTTGTTCTAGCCAAGTTAAAGCTAACTTTTAGCAACCGAAATGGCTAACGTTAGCTGTTGTGCTAAAGTTAGGCTCCTTCTTGGTTTAGTGTGAAAATCCCGAGGAGAAACGGTCTTCAAACAGCTCAATAAACACTTTCACATTCAGTTTGTTTACTGCACTCATGGTGGCGCCATTGTGCAGTTGGTTTTCATTTCATTTGATACAGTTTTTTTTTTTTTTTTTGTCAAAAATGTATTTCTTAAATGACAAATTGTAATACAAAAAACATAACAATTCATTTGATCCAGGTGATTGTAGAGTCACTGAGGTGGACGACGCTTTGAGTGAAGGAAAAAAAAATTCTACTTTGCTCGATTTTAAGTTGGAGCTTGGCCTAATAACCTTTTTGTCTAAAGCAGACGTCCAGAGCTGAGCTAATGTGGCATTTTTCCTTCATCAGGAGAACCGTCCATGGACTGTAACAGTCCAGATTTTGTGCCATCGGTTTTTCCAGCGAAGGTGACGAGGTTTGTATGATTCTGTCTGTAAAATATTCTAACCTGACTGCACAACTTTGATTAGTAGGAGCCAAAATATTTAAAACGGTAAAATTATTTTGATACACAATATTTTGTTTAATTTTCAGTAGGATTAGGAGAAGGCAGAAGAAGGCGCCTGTTTCTCTCTCCACATTCCACACTGACACTGAAGATGAAGATGAATCAGGTAAATAAAACTGAGTGGATGGTGGGAGTTGTGTCGTTTGTTGCGCGTTGACCAGGTTGTTCTCTGTGTAATGTTAAGTTGGAGCCTTTTGTGATGTTGCGCTTAATCCATGAAGTATTTGTTCTCCTTTTTTTGTCTTGTAGACTTTGTGCCCAAACTGAACTTGGACCAGCTCAGCATCCAGTGTGACCAACTTCAGGAGGACTACGAGGCCTTGAAACGGGAACTGGAGGCCGTAAAGTCTGAGAATCAACAGCTGCAGGACCAACTTAAACTGTCAAAATTTGGGTTTGATTCACTGAAAGACTCTACGCTCTGTTTTTTTACCGGACTGGAGTCTATTCAGGTTTTCTCGTGGCTTTTAAACATTATCAAACGGACCGGATTGGTGCTGAAGGACGGGTTAAACTGGGAGAACCACCTCCTTTTGGTGTTGATGAAAATCAGACTTGGGCTCGACAACAAAGACCTGGCACAACGATTTGACCTCCCGTCTGCAACTGTGTCCAAAATCATCAGAGAGTGGATTCCCATGTTGTCTTTAGTTTTGAAACCGCTGATTATTTGGCCAAGTAAAAATGCAGTAACAGCGAACATGCCAACATGTTTTAAACCAAAATTTGAGAATTGTCGTTGCGTTATAGACTGCACAGAAATCTGCATCAAGAGAATCTATAATCGAAAAGCAGGAGCTGAAACTCAAAATTACAAGCAGCAAAATACCGTCAAATATTTAATTGGAATAACTCCAGCTGGGGCGATATGTTTTTTGTCTGGTGGGTTGGACGGTCGCGCCTCTGACAAGATAACGACTCTGGGTTCGGGATTTTTGGAGAAACTTGAGAGCGGAGACGAGGTCCTCGCAGATCCACGTTTCCTCGTCGGAGAAGAACTGGCCAGTGTCGGGGCAAAACTGACAACGCTGAGTTTTACTAAAGGGAAGCGTCAGATGTTTGGTTCTTGCGTTGACTCTTCACGTCGGCTGTGGAGAGTCCGTCAGCACGTCGGGAGAGTTATGGGTCACCTTAAAGACTTCAACATATTAAACACGGTCATGCCCAGCAGCAGCGTGGGAGTGTTGGACGACGTTGTAACAGTTTGTGCAGGTCTCGTCAACCTGAGGAGCACCGGGCTCCGCAAATAACGACGAGACCACAGAGACGAGAGAGGATCGCTTTGGTTTTGGTTCACTTTCTCATCTTGCCGGAGCAAATGAGTTTGAACATGAAGGTAATTACGGAAGCCGAGAGGGGTCGCAACAAACGCAAGCGCCGCGACAAATACAAACGCGACAACATAACAAAAAGCCACAACACACCAAAATAGCCACAACACACCAAAAAAAGTCACAACAACACAACAAAAAAAGCCACAACACATTAAAAAGCCACAACACAATAAAAAAGCCACAACATAATGCAAAAGCCGCAACATTAAAAAGCCACAACACATTAAAAAGCCACAACACAAAAAAAGCCACAACACATTAAAAAGCCACAGCACAAAACGCAAATTCCACAACACACCAAAAAAGCCAACACATTAAAAAGCACAAAAAGCCACAACACACCAAAAAGCCACAACACATCAAAAAGCCACAACACATTAAAAAGCCACAACACATAAAAAGCCACAACACATTAAAAAGCCACAGCACAAACGCAAATTCCACAACACACCAAAAAAGCCACAACACACCAAAAAAGCCACAACACATCAGAAAGCCACAACACATTAAAAAGCCACAACGGAAGTGACCGTAGTAGTAGTAGTTCTTCTTCTTCACTTGCCGCTTGATCGGTCCGTCGGAAAATAGAGTCCTTGACTTCCGTTGTGGCTTTTTATGTGTTGCGGCATTTGTGTGTGGCTGTGTTTGCTTTTTTGTGTTCTGGCATTTTTTGTGTATTGTGGCTTTTTGATGTGTTGTGGCTTTTTGATGTGTTGTGGCTTTTTAATGTATTGCGGCGTTTGTATTCAAATAGAGTCCTGCGGTCATTTCCGTTGTGGCTTTTTTTGGTGTGTTGTGGCTTTTTTTGGTGTGTTGCGGCTTTTTGTTGTGTTGTGGCTTTTGTATTTGTTGCGGCGTTTGCGTTTGTTGTGACCCTCTCGGCTTCCGTAGGTAACGAATGTGAAGAACAAACTGTCAGAGTGGATGAAATAGACGGAACAGAATGTAGTCAAAGAAAAGAAGAACGTGTCGGTAATGTGAATGTGCACAGATGTTAATTAAATGATCAAATATGAATGAACACGTGAGAAAAGAGTTCAGTTTTTTTACACTTGTACAATCGTGAGTTGTGCACATTTCAGAGACAAAACACACAAGGAGCACACTGTCAATGAGGACTAACATTTTGAGTTTATTTATTTATTTGAAAAGGGAAAATGCACATTAATCAACATCAGAACAATGTAAATGTGCCTGAGTTCACTGATAAAAGCTCATTTGCATCTGTAGTCCCTTTGCCAGATGTCAAAAAGTCGTCCTCAAAGAAAATACACTTAAAAGTTACACATAAAAAATGACACAAATGCACAATAGAGGCTTTGCACCGTCACATGTCCCTATAGCAACAGTACCTACGCCGCCATGACCCCGGACACACTATGTCACTGACTTCAGCAGCATCGTAGAAACATGGGCAGGTTTTGTTGTGTATTTGTTGTTCTAGACGCTCTGAAAAGGATAAAATTATTCTTTTCTTCACTGTTCCTCTGGAAATGACTCATCAGGATCAAACAAGGGAATTATCAAAAAAAAGACACAGATTATAGGAAGCAAAAATAAACCGCAAAGACATTTTCCAATGGTTCCATCAAGACACACGAAGTTTCATCAAGGTGTTTACTATTTAAATTGTTTCATAGTTTATTTAATGAAAGAAGCACATTTACTGAACTAAAATTTCATTAATTAAGAGTCTGTGATGAACCTCCAAAGAATCGGCCATGAAAAGATCCTCGCCAACGTTACAAAGATCCACTCACAAAAAGTGATTAATTCTAGAAGACAAAGTTGTGGATAAACAAGACAATAAAGAAAACCTGGTCCTACGACGAGTGACATGTTTATATGTGCTGGAACATCCAGTTTCTACTGCAAATGTTTCTTTTTACATTTTAGTTCAGTGAATGTGCTTCTCTCATTAAATAAACTATGAAACTATTTAAATAACAAACACCTTGATGAAAGTGACGTGAGTGTGTCTTGATGGGACCATTGGAAAATCTCTTCGGTTTATGTTTCTAGACATAATTCCTGTTTTTTTTTTCCCCGATATTTCCCTTGTTTGATCCTGATGAGTCATTTCCAGTGGAACAGTGAAGAAACAAATCATTTTATCCCGTTCAGAGCGTCTAGAACAACAAATACACAACAAAACCTGCCCATGTTTCTCCGACGCTGCTGAAGTCAGTCACATAGTGACACAGTGTGTCCGGTGTCATGGCGGCGTAGGAACCGTTGCTATAGGGACATGTGACGGTGCAAAGTCTCTATAAGATTACAAAAATACAGTAAAAGTTTTAGTGTTCACACATTTGCGTTTCTAAAAGCCACTTTTTAGCATTTATTTTAAACGCAGAGAATGAGGGAGATGTTCTGATGCTTCAGGCGCAGAGTTCCACTGACGAGACGCTCTGACCAAGGAGAAAACCCACTGACCACATCCTGTTTTTCTATGAAGAGTAACGGCGTCGTCCCTCACTGCTGCTCCGGTCGCTCTGTCCTCACTACATCTGAAATGAACTCAGTCACTGAGCGAAGGGGGAGTCGAGTCCAGTTACATTTCTTTTGAGTATTATTATCTCCAGACAGTGTTTTTGTGTGTTTGTTTCACATTTTCATGTTCTGGAGAATCTGGTGATGTTCACATGTGCAGAGTGAAAGTGTCTGTAGGAGTCGGTGCACGTGACCGTTTTGCCAAACGAGGTCTTTTACACACGTCTCATGTCCTGGTCTTGGGTCTGGACCTGCAGGTGACCTCCTCCTCCTCCTGCTCCTCCTCCTGCTCCTGCTCCTCCTCCTCCTCCTCTCTCCTGCTCTCCTCCTGCTCCTCCTGCTCTCCTGCTCCTCCTCTCCTCCTCCTGCTCCTCCTCCTCCTCCTGCTGCTCCTCCTGCTCCTCCTGCTCCTCCTCCTCCTGCTCCTCCTCCTCCTCTGCTCCTCCTCCTCCTCCCTCCTCCTGCTCCTCCTCCTCCTGCTCCTGCTCCTCCTCCTGCTCCTCCTGCTCCTCCTCCTTCTCCTCCTGCTCCTCCTGCTTCTCCTCCTCCTTCTTCTCCTCCTGCTCCTCCTGCTCCTCCTTCTTCTCCTCCTGCTCCTCCTCCTGCTCCTCCTCCTGCTCCTCCTGCTCCTCCTCTGCTCCTCCTCCTGCTCTCCTCCTGCTCTCCTCCTGCTCCTCCTCCTCCTCCTCCTGCTCCTCCTCCTCCTCCTCCTGCTCCTCCTCCTCCTCCTCCTGCTCCTCCTCCTCCTCCTCCTCCTCCTGCCTCCTCCTCCTCCTCCTCCTGCTCCTCCTCCTCCTCCTCCTCCTCCTCCTCCTGCTCCTCCTGCTCCTCCTGCTCCTCCTCTCCTCCTCTCCTCCTCCTCCTCCTCCTGCTCCTCCTGCTCCTCCTCTCCTCCTCCTCCTCCTCCTGCTCCTCCTCCTCCTCCTCCTCCTCCTGCTCCTCTCCTCCTCCTCCTCCTGCTCCTCCTGCTCCTCCTCCTCCTCCTCCTCCTCCTCCCTCCTCCTCCTCCTGCTCCTCCTCCTCCTCCTCCTGCTCCCTCCTCCTCCTCCTCCTCCTCCTGCTCCTCCTCCTCCTCCTCCTCCTCCTGCTCCTCCTCCTCCTGCTCCTCCTCCTGCTCCTCCTCCTCTCCTGCTCCTCTGTGGAAGTCGTCCTCCTGTGACTCGGCGGCTGCAGTGTGACCACAGCACGACTCAGACTGGACTGGTGGATGTTTCACTTCATTTCTGTGAGTGATTTTCAGCTCAGCATCTGATTGTTTGTCGTGTCATTTGTACATGTAGAGTTCAGGGTGAAGACGTACGTCCAGGCACCACAGGGTTTTAACTTCATGTCCCAGTCTCTACGTCTGCCCTCAGAACTCAGAGCTCAGAGCTCACAGCGTGAATCGACAGACGTCACTGTCGGTTTAGGCTGCGGTGGCTCATTTCCTCAGAACATCGACTCTAAACGAGCTCCTTTTATTTATAACACATTTTATTGATAACCTGATTGTGTCTTCGTCCTGAGGAGTGACACGTGTCTCCAAGTCTGTGGAGCTGAATGAGTTTAAATAAATCTGCTTTTCTAAACGTGGAACACGATAAACTCACAGGAAAAACGACCAAAAATCATATCAAAATAGTGACTTTATTTTGAGACGTTTTATCAGTCGTTTTTTTTTACATTTAAAACAAAAAATCATGCAAGAAATAAATAAGTAAATAAATAAATAAGTAAATAAAATCAGTCTGTGGTGAAGTGAGAGTCAAAAATGTGGAGGACGAGTCACTTCTTCTTCTGCAGTTCTCTGGTGATGGCGTCCAACTGTGGAGACGAACAGACGACCATTAAAGATCACAAAACTCTGACTCTTTAAACTCTGACTCTGTTTAAACTCTGACTCTGAAAACTCTGACTCTTTAAACTCTGACTCTGTTTAAACTCTGACTCTGTTTAAACTCTGACTCAACTCTGGAGCTCTGTGTTTGTCCACTCTTGATTGAAAAGTTAACTCTGACTCTCTCTCTCTTTCTCTCTACTCCTCTCCTTCCCCTCTGACTCTGTTTAAACTCTGACTCTCTCTTCTGACTCTGTCTTGTTCTCTCTGACTCTCTACTCTCTTTCTCTCTTTCTCTTTCTCCTCCTCTGACTCTTTCTCTCTCTTCTCCTTTCTCTCTGACTCTTCTCTCTACTCTGACTCTCTTTAAACTCTCTCTCCTCTCCTCTCTGTTTGTTCTCTCTCTTCCCTTTCTCTTCTTCTTTCTCCTCCTCTTTCTCTCTGACTCTCTCTCTCGTCTCTACTCTCTTTAACTCTCTCCTCTCTTCTCTTCTCTCTCTTCTCTTCTTCTCTGACTCTGACTCTTTTAAACTCTGACTTGTCTTCCTCCTCTGTTTTTCTCTCTTGTTCTCTTTCGCTCTCTGCTCTTAAACTCTCTGACTCTTTCTCCACTCTCTCTCTCTGTTCTATCTCTGACTCTCTTTCTCATTCTCCTCCTCCTCCTCCCCTCTCCTCTATCTATCTCTCCTTTTACTCTCTTTCTTCTTTCTCCTCCTCTCTGTCTGTCTAACTCTCTCGTTCACCTTTTACTTTCTCTCTCGCTCTTTCTCTCTGTTCTCTTTCTCTCCTCCTCTGTTAAACTCTCCTCTCCTCTGTTTTCTCTTTCTCTTTTTTTTTTCTCTTTCTTTCTTTTCTCCTTTTCTCTCTCTTCAGTTCAGTCGATTTTATTCTGATGTTCCAGTTTGTCTGAAATGATCTGATTCTCTGAGGTGTTTTTAAAAACACAGTGGAGCACTTCCTGTATCACCACATGATGACATCACCAGGTGGAACAGAGCGTTTACAGTTTGAGAAAAAAACTCAACTCCAAGACCTGGAAAACACAACTGCAGGTCCAGAACAGAGCGGAAAACGACATCAGATGGGATTTTTTATTATTTTTTAAAATTAATTTTTTATTTTATTTTGTTTTTATTTTTAATTGTAATTTTGTGTAAAAGTCTAAAGTTTTTAGTGACTCACAAAGATGTTCCTCAGGACACTTCTGCGCTGGGGCCTCAGGTAACTGCACTCTCCAGACTCACACAGCTTCAGCTCCGCAGAAATCTGGAAATATACAAATACAAGGAGAAAAAAAAATACACACGAGGAAAAAAAAATACACACGAGAAAAAAAAAAAGAAAAAAAAGGATGAGAAAAAAAAAATCAAATGGGAAAAAAAATACACGAGAAAAAAAACGAGAAAAAAAAAAACAAGAAAAAAAAAGAGAAAAAAAAACGAGATGAGAAAAAAAAAACAAGACGAGAAAAAAGAAAATACAACGAGAAAAAAAAAGAGAAAAAAAAAACGAGATGAGAAAAAAAAAGACGAGAAAAAGAAAATACAACGAGAAAAAAAAAGAGAAAAAAAAAAACAAGATGAGAAAAAAAAACAAGACGAGAAAAAAAAAAATACACACGAGAAAAAATACAAAACGAGAAAAAATATAGGATGAGAAAAAAGAAAATACAATGGGAAAAAAAAATACACATGAGAAAAAAATACACAACGGAAAAAAAAAATACGAGATGAGAAAAAAAAAACAAGACGAGATAAAAGAAAATACAACGAGAAAAATACAAGACAAGAAAAAAAAATACACAAGAAAAAAAAAAAGACGAGAAAACAAATGAGACAAGAAAAATACAAGGCAAAAAAATTACGTGTTTTATAACGACAGAAAGACTAAACCAGGACTAAACCAGGACTAAACCAGGACTAGACTAGACCAGGACTAGACCAGGACTAGACCAGGACTAAAAGGAGCAGGTTTTACCTCCGGGGTGAACGGGTCCAGTTCCCTCTTTCCTCCCGGGTACCAGCCGTGGGACCAGTGCTGCGCCCCTGTGCCCACGAGCAACGCCATGACCAGCAGCAGACGACACGGAAGCATCACGACCTGGAGCGGAACCCACAACCCCCCGGTGAGAGGGCGAGAACACTCTAAACCAGGTCTAAACCAGGTCTAAACCAGGACTAAACCAGGACTAAACCAGGTCTAAACCAGGTCTAAACCAGGTCTAAACCAGGACTAAAACCAGGACTAAACCAGGACTAAACAGGTCAGGACTAAACCAGGAC